ATTGACTTCAATGCATTTCAGTCAAAGTTTTCCCACTCGGCCAGCGTTCATACAACAGCAACAAGACTCGATATTCAACCTTTGGCCTCATCACCCAACACCTTAACACCACCATCTTGACCCGCACTCGTCTTTCATCCCTCGTTCTCTCCCATTGACTTTAATGCATTTCAGTCAAAGTTTTCCCACTTGGCCAGGGTTAATGCCACAGCAAAAAGACTTGGTATTAAACCTCAGGCCTCATCACCAAACACCTAGCAACTACCTTGCAACCACCTAGCAACACCTTAGCAACCACCTACAATTTCATAGCAACACCTTAGCAACCATCTAGCTATGTCTAGCAACCAACTACTGTGACCAAAGTAACGCCTTCTGACAACATAGCAACCCACTTGCAGCACCTAGCAACCACCTAGCAACACCTTACCAACTACCTACAATTGCATAGCAACACCATAGCAACCATCTAGCTATGCCTAGCAACCAGCTACTGAGATCATAGCAACGCCTTCTGACACCATAGCAACCACCTTGCAGCAGCTAGCAACCACCTAGCAACACCATAGCAACCACCAAAAAATGCATAGCAACACCATAGCAACCATTTTGCTATGCCTAGCAACCAGCTGCTGAGACCATAGCAACACCTTCTGACAATATAGCAACCACCTTGCAGCACCTAGCAACCACCTAGCAACACCATAGCAACCACCAAAAAATGCATAGCAACACCATAGCAACCATTTAGCTATGCCTAGCAACCAGCTACTGAGACCAAAGCAACTTCTTGTGATACCATAGCAACCACCTTGCAGCACCTAGCAGCCATCATGCAACACCATAGCAACCCCGTAGCAATGCCTAGCAACCAGCTACCAACACCCTTGCAATGCCAAATAACAACACTGCAACCACCTAGCAATGCCTAGCGGCACTCCAGTAACCACCTATCAGCACCGTACCACCTAACTTGCAAATCTTAGCAATCACCTAGCAGTGCACAGTCCAGGCACTTAATTAGTAGCACAGGCTCTTCCACGGTCAGCAGAATAGGCCCATCTCAAAATTTCTTCAGGAATTTTCGTTTCTAGTTATTATTATTATTGGAGTAGGCACGGTGGCACAGTGGTTAGCACTGTTGCCTCACACTTCTGGGACCTGCCGGGGTGCCATGTGTGTGGAGTTTGCACGTTCTCCCTGTGTCATCAAGGGGTTTCCTTCAGGTACTCCAGTTCACCCGCCCACGCATGCTGAGGTTATCAAATTGCCTGTAGACATGCATGTGTGTGTGAATGGAGGGTGAGTGTGCCCAGTGTTGAGTTCACACCCCATCTTGGGTTGTTCCTTAGCTTTCACCCATAGCTCCAGATTCCACACTATCCTGAACCAGACAAGCAGGTACAGAAAATGGGTGTTATTATTATCATTATTGTTTTGTGACAAAACTGTGCATGAAACTTGGATGCCTGATTGCTGTGTATACGTTATTCAGAATTACAGCAACCCATACAGCTACAGAAACACGTTTATCGGTTAAATAAACTGCTTGAACAGAACAATTTGGATTGAACTTGCTTGGTTCAAGTTTCCAGTGAATGATCTGCAAGATATGGAAGCTAATTTATAAAGGCTTCATACAAACGTAATAGCCACAAAACATTTCTATGCATATTTATATGAAGATTTTAGGATTTGTATACATTTAAGAATGGTCTAGAGTAGTTGTTTTGGAAGAAATAGAAAGTAAAAAAACAACATCTAGATTTCAGATAGAAATGAGCATCTAAGTTGCATTTAGACTTAGTTTTAATGGTTGGTGAAATGTGCGATAATAAATACAGAAACATTTTATTATATCTGATATGCCCCTATCATTCAGCATTTTTTTAAATGAACTTATATATACAAATATATTAATTACATGGTGTATTAAGACGAACTTACAGGTGGCCCTGCAACTGGCCATGTCCATTATGGGAACTTGTCTTTGTATTTTAAATTTTAACCGCAAGCCGCATTACCCGGACGAGATTGGAAATTTGAGAATGCCTTGCCTGAGGGGAGGGGTGAGCATGGCCAGTTCGTCCCCTGTCCGCATGTAATGCCCAAAAATTAGTATAAAGGAAGGGGGAGATCTTAGTGTTGGTTGGAGCTCAGCCGTGGGATAGAGCGCGCATCGCCTGGCACTTTCTCGGGACTCACATGTTGAACTCCTACCAGGACTGAAACGGGTTCCCCAGTCTAAGAGTGAAGGTGGGTGATGATGGCACATCCGAGTGTGAATAGCTTTGCAGTGTCTGTGTACTGATTTAATCATTATTGGGATTAATTATCATTTTATGAGAATCACAATAAAAATAATATTAATTGGTACTTTATATGTATGCATGTTTTATTGTCACTTTTTATATACACATATAATCAGTTATTGGCAGTTTTATTATTGTTTATGATTTATAATACCATTGGATACCACTTGTGAAATGGAATTATTTTGCATTAAAATATTTTGGTATTGATATTAATGCAAGGGTATTTTGTATTACTTGTAATAAAGCATTTTTAGAAGCGAACCTAAGTGTGCCTGTTTTTCCTTAGAAAGCCCTATATCCCCCACACATCATCTTAAAACACATGGAATCTATTAGTTATGTACGAACTGAAAAGTCAAAGTAAGTATAGGAATCAACAGGTGTGCACCCACATGTACACTTACCCCATTACCTTTTAAGTTGTCAGTTGTCCACAAGTTATCGAGTAATTGAGTAAAAAAGATCCAGTAATCACTAGAGCCCTCCCTCAAAGCTTTGGTGGGGGAAAGTGAAACTTTCAAGGCTTATTTCTTGTCATGTATGGCATTTATGGAGAAAAAAATAAATAAATAAACTAATAAGAAATAAATCAGTAATTAAAAACACGAATAAATAAACAATTTTATATTTAATTTAATTTTATATTTATATTCACGTTTCATGTCATTATCATTTATTTATTGCCACATTAAATGTATAAATAAATGTATGCATTAATGAATAAATATACTATATAAAGTCCAAATAATCCTTCCACACAAATAACTGTGGTGCCTTTATTTTGACACCTGCAATGATGGGTAAAAACAGGAAGTAGGATGTGCCGAAAAATGTTTCAAAGCAGTCTCATTAATAAATGATTACATTATCTGCCACTGCATGCACAAGTGAACTGAAATACACAAATTCATAATGTTATTTACTCCAATGTAAAAGATACTACTACTGATACATAATTACACATATTAATTTAAGACAGTACATCTACAATGTCTATTAAGAAGATTTGTTCAAATATCAAGAATGGAAAGCATTATTATTTAATAAACTATTGTTTTTGAATAATGAATTATATCCACAGACAGTAGGTATTAACAAAAAATTCAAATACAGTATAATTTGTAATATCCAAAAAAAAATATGCCACGGTATTCCATCTCCGTGACTCAACAGGGAAATAGTGCCCATTATAAGGCATTGCACTGAAAGGCAGTTCAAGTTTGAATTAGCACATTACAGAGAAGCCCAAAGGCACTCAATCATACATGGATTCATTCAACCAGTCATCCATCCTACCAATTCTTTGATTGATTTACTTATTCATTAATTTCATGAGCATCAAAGCTTCCAAACCATCAGGGCAGACTTGATCTTCCATATCATAGGAGCTCTTTAAATGGCACTTCGAGTCTGTACTCCCCTGTACGCTTTACCTTCCAACCTACTAGGGCCAACAGCAAAATCCCCATCACTTTATATGCTACCTGGAGGCCCAGATACCTGCAATGGGGCAAAAAAGTTTCATTCATCTTGCCTGCTATATTTCATTATTGACAGCTGATTATTTGATTATCATCTGTGTACATCTCTGATTCATTGCTTTTACTTTGTAGGAGGATATAAAAATAACACTTTCACATTCACCTTTAAATCATTTTTGCAAAGTAATATTAATAAAATACAGACACTCCTGTACTTACAAACAAGATACATTCCGAACAGCCGTTCGCAACTTGAAATGTTCGTAAGTTGTTATTCAACATCATTTTAAGGGTATACGCAAGTACAAAGAACTAGGATGCTGAGAGTATGCACACTATGCTGCTGCACGGCAGGTGTAGCGGCCAGAAGTTGTACTAAGCGGAATTAGCGCGCAGAAAAAAAAAAATGATGTTGCGGACAGGAAATGGGAGCCCAAAGAACACAATTTGGACTTACAGTCCTCTTCATTCATATGTCTGAAAGTTCTTAAGTTGAAAGTTCGTAAGTAGAGGAGCGTCTGTAATGAGTTTGAACTTAATTAAATTTCTCTTTAGTAATTATAATAAAGGAGCTTCAGTAATAAATCACTAATTTAGCTTTAATCTATATTGTTCCCCAACAAACCTTCTGTGCTTTCATATACTGTATACCATATTAAACTTATGAAAATCTTGTCTATGCCATGTTCCATTTTATTCTGTTAAGCAAAGTAACTTCTCACCTGTTTCTAAAAAGGTCATTGTCGTAATAAGTGCAGCCCTGCTTATTCCCACAGATCCACTTCCACCTCAAGCATGTGGAGTCAATGGCCAGGCCAAAGAGGGCTGGAGCAGGCAGCCAGGCTGGGAACCAGTTATACATTCATCTTTAATGTGATCTTCATCCCATTTATTGAGCTCTTGCAGTGACAAGTAGAGAGCTTTTTCTAGTTTTATCTGAGTGCACTATGAAACCTTTAAATCACAAACCTTACACAAACATTGCAAGTTCTTTTTTTTGGTCTTCTAATCAGAGATGTTTGTCTCATTTTCATTCCTTTTGCATTTTTATTGAAATGCCAACATTTTTGACCCTTAGATGCATAGCTCATTCCACAAGCACTATTACATACCTCAAGTCTTTGGTGACCCAACATGTAAAGTAAAAAAAAGCCACAAATGCCAATGACTCAGCAAACATTTACTGAATGTTTCTCACAAGATGACTCTGAACACTTTCTGAATGTTTTTAATGCATTATGAACATTTTAATTAAATGAATGTTTAATATTTCCTAGCCTAGCCTAATATTAATAACTACCAATATAGCAACTAGTATATACAGTCAAACCTCTCTTATCCGGGCAGAATGGGACTGAGGGGTGCCCGTAAGTAAGAAATGCCCGTTATAAGGGTGTTGAGAAGGACTTTGTTTCAGTGGAGGAAGCCAGTGATTATGTCAAGACTTTGCTTTCTGGGT